CAGTTTCAGTAGTTTTTCCCGTTTTCTTTTGTTTCTTTGAAGCTTCTACGTTGCTCACATGTTTCATCCATGATATTCTCTGCATTCTTTTGTAGAACGATATCCTTTTTGCTTCAAATGTGTTCATCATCTATGGAGACAGCATCAACTGCCTTATGGCACAGGATTTGATGTTACATAACACTTCGGCACTTTTGTCTTCGTTTCTAACGAATGTCTCTTATATTGTAATTTTTTCGTTCTTGAATGCTATTTCTGTACATTTATCTAATCCATATCCATACTGATGTCATCACTGAAATATTTTACAATATCGAGGAAACGCATATACTCAGTCAGTTATGTGCCATGCGTGATACCCGCTTAGGCGATCATGTATCTTTCGATACACGACTAACGAGGCAGATTTTTTCCCGCTGTAAGTTTCCATTTCTTTCTGCTGTATAAGAGCAACAGTAGAACTGTATTAAAACATACAAAGGAACAAAAACCTCGAAAGCAAGAAGCAATCATTTAGTTGCAGCAGACCAGTTGACATCCAAGGTTATACAACCTGGTCTGTTCTGCTATTTTCCCATAGCTCGGGTGGGAGAGAAGTAGAGGATTCATAGCTTCCCCAAGTGATTCATACCTTCCGTAAGTGAATGTAATGGAATCGACAGGAATTCGAACTCTGCTCTCCGATTCCTTAATCCGAGCAGCTATCCATTACTCCACCAAGAGAACACCGAAATGATGAAGACGATTCACAGATCATTACTGAATCAAATAGATGGCACTAATTATTCTCCTATTAAGTTGGGGTATATTCTGTTTTGCAGTTCATAAGAACTGATCAAATAATACTTAAAATCGATCGTCCTGGGTAAGACGATAAACTACGTCCAGCAGCAAGGTTTCTGATCAGGAGGTTTGAGGAGCGTGGAACCAGCTTTTAATTGCTGGTGTTCCCAGGTCCATTATGTCCCGGGGTGGTAACCCCTGTTAAGGTTCCAGCTATGGGCAAATAATTAACTATTACCAGCAATAGCTTTTGAAAAAAAATATTACCAGCAATACAATTTTAAAGGAAAAATATTACCAGAAACAGATTTTTGCCAACACAAATTTTGTCGGTATTAATTAACCCATTAACGTTGATATTCCGTAAAACAAAATAAACCAAACCAATCTAAACCAAAGAATACATATTCTATTCATACGAATCTATCCTAAAAATGTTGTCGGCATTAAATAACCCATTGAGGTTGAGATGCCGTGAAACAAAATAAACCAAACCAATCTAAAGTAAAGAATATATATTCTATTAACATGAATCTATCCTCAAAATATTGTCGGCATTACATAACCCACGAGGTTAATATGCCGTAAAACAAAATAAACCAAACCAATCTAAACCAAAGAATACATATTCTATTCATACGAATCTATCCTAAAAATGTTGTCGGCATTAAATAACCCATCGAGGTTAATATACCGTAAAACAAAATAAACCAAACCAATCTAAACCAAAGAATACATATTCTATTCATACGAATCTATCCTAAAAATGTTGTCGGCATTAAATAACCCATCGAGGTTAATATACCGTAAAACAAAATAAACCAAACCAATCTAAACCAAAGAATACATATTCTATTCATACAAATCTATCCTAAAAATGTTGTCGGCATTAAATAACCCATTGAGGTTGATATGCAGTAAAACAAAATAAACCAAACCAATCTAAACCAAAGAATACATATTCTATTCATACGAATCTATCCTAAAAATGTTGTCGGCATTAAATAACCCATCGAGGTTAATATACCGTAAAACAAAATAAACCAAACCAATCTAAACCAAAGAATACATATTCTATTCATACGAATCTATCCTAAAAAATGTTGTCAGCATTAAATAACCCATTGAAGTTGATATGCCGTAAAACAAAGCAAACTTAAAATCGTGAGTCTTGGTAATGGTCATATTTTATCTTGTTAATATCTTCATTTTACATTTCTGTTTCCTAATACAAAGGCATGTAACCGAATGTTAGGAGGAATAAAACACAAAAATAGAAAGAAATGTAAGACCATAATGCGTTTTCTCTTCGGATTTATTTAACATATATAGCGAGACGATCCTAAGAGAATTAGAAGACCTACCGGGAATTATTACTGGCGGCTATAATAATGGATAGCCGCTCGGATTGAGGAATCAGAGTTCTAATTCCAATCGAATCCATTACATTCGCTTACGTACTTATACCCTTGGGAAAGGCATGAATCCTCTTTTTCTCTTCCCAGCTATGGGTAAATGGCAGGACAGACGGGATTCTATAACCTTGGATGGTAACCGATCTAACGCAATGGAAACCTACTGCAGGAAAAAATCCGGGCCGTCAGTCATGTATCGAAAGATATATGATCGTCTAAGCATGTATCACGAGGGTTACATAATTGACTGATTCTTAGAATTATATCACAGATGGCAAAGTCAGGGGGAAAACTTAGTAGAAAACTTAGTTAATGCTTAGTAGTTTCTTGAAAAAACTATTAACTATTAACTGCAAGAAGAAAAATTCATGGTTGTCAGCAAAAGAGGCAGCCCAAGTTGGGAACTACATATAGGGGACGTCTTATTCAAGAAGGTACAGAAATTCAATAGTTTGCTTATTGTGTTAACATTTGACGAAAAATGTAACAGAGAAATCCGAAGGTGTTTTGGAATTGCGAAATACACTTTCCAGAAATTACATAAAATATTAAGATAAGAAAGTTTTGTTAAAAAAAAAGAAAAAAGAAGAGACTTTAAACGACGGAGGCTGGGAATACCATAGACAGAACTTTTGAGCAACGAAGAAGATATAAGAAAAATAGGAACTACAAAGCTACATATACTTATAAACAAAAATAGATATTTCTTGTTCGCATAATGAAGACGGACGGCCTGGAGAATCTGACACTCACAGGGCATTGATTGTCAGTAAAGCAGGAAGAAAAACTGTGTAAACTTCTTAACGCGAGTGCGCGAATGAATGTCAGAATTAAGACGAAATGAAGTCGCAAAGAATCAGAAGTTACTTAGAGCAAAAAATGACAGGAAGTTGTGGAGAGCTATCATATAATAATTTACTGACATCAAGTGGCAGCAATTCTTCAAAATTCACTAGCCTCCTTTTCAATGTTTTTAGCTTATTTTAGTAATACTATCGTCTGCATGACTTAAAAATAATTTAGTTTATTTTCAGTTCTTCCAACCTCTTCACCAATACTCCAGGTACTCCTGTAATGATTGGTAGAACAATCACTTCCATATTTCATTTTTTCAGTCTTGTTGAAAAGTCTACATATTTTGCCCCGGTTGTCACTTTAATTTGAGGGCCTGCTGAAAGAGTGGCATCACTTATCTGAATAATTTTCGTTTTGTTTAGATTAAGTCTTTTGACAATGATTGTGTGATGCGATTGGATTTTAAAGTTCCAATTAATTTTATATTTTTATTCTTTAAAACAAACACCGATTTATGCATATAACCTCGGTTGGCATGCTAAAATCCCAGAAGTTTACACATTTCCTGTGGAACACACTTTCATACCTATTTTTTTAATCTCTCTGAATCAATTTGCTAAATTTATTTATCGCTGGCAGCATGGCCCGGCGTTGCCCGTGCTTGATTCAAAAATCGTCGACTCATACAGCAATCGCTATCACTTGACTTAAAATATTTTTGCCCTTCCTTGCCTTTAAAGGAGTGCCCTTTGCCGTGCTGATGTTGCTACATGCCTTACTTCTTGCCTATCTCACACTGCCAATTTTTTCTAAGCTCTATACTAAACATTAAATGTGTTACGAAAAAAGAACTAAACAAAATGAACACAAAACGATCAGCTTTAAAAAAAGGACTCGTAACTGGAAAAAACGAATGAAAAAAGAATGTTAACAACAAATACTTTCTCAAACCCAACCCAGTTCTGCGGAATCAGAATCAACGTTGAGTTTAAGCAAGCGAATGAGCCAATTGGAATAAAGTGCCATGCAGATTTAAATTTTTCCCACTTGTGACGAATGCAGCTATCAATTTTTTTGCCTACTAGCATGCCAGTTAACATTCGTGTCAGTCAGCTGTTGGCTCTGACGCTGGCCAATAGAATCTTCCTGCCTATTCGTGGCAGCCAGCTATAGGCTCTCACTCTGGCCAGTAGAAAATGGCCGCAAACTACATGAAAACTGCCGTAGAAGCATGAAAAAATCGATTATTTCCACTATCGATGGGAGTTGGGAAATGCAACGTCGGTCTTGGACTTCCCGCTAACTTGGAGCATGTGCATGTCAATTTTGGTGCAAATCCGTCGAAAATTGCGACGTGCATTCGTTACACACACACACACACACACACACACACACACACACACACACACACACACACACAAACAAACAAATCCTGCCTTTTATAGATAGAGATATACGTAACGATCTCAAATCCGCATTTGTAATTTCTTGTCCTATTACTCGAAATTTGAGTAGTTCGTCTAGAATTATTCTAGGCTGCTTTTAATAAGGATTCCGTTTCTCTTTTCAGATATCCTTGTCGCATTCAAGTTAATTCTTGGAAATCTCCCTTTTGTATCGTGAAATGTCCGTGCTACTAAATGTCTTCCCCTTTTTCGCTTTTTGCTTTTGAGGTTTTTGTTCATTTGTATGTTTTAATATTAGTTCTACTGCTATGCGTTGCTCTTATAATTAAACATTCATTATTTTGCACTGTTTAGACCTCAGATCATTTGGTAGAAGAATTGCCGCAATATTATCATTATTGTAGATGTTTTTTTTTTCGTAATGTTGGGAAATCTTTGCAGTAATTTCACTTCTTTATCTTAGTTATTGAATGGAATTTACGTTCTCATATCAAGCTAGAGTTTGAGTTTCAAAGAGTTTGTTTATTTTATCAAAGAAATTATTATAGTTATAAAAGGTAGTAAATGATGAAATCTACAGACATAATTATTTTGAGAAACGATGAATAAAAGGTTTAAGGTATCTATCTACTGCATTGTCTTTATCTCTACATATCTATATTCTGTCCATTATCTATCTATCTATCTATCTATCTACTCCATTGACTTTATATATCTATGTCCTCTTCATTATGTATTTATACAATTCTTTTCGATATCTATCTATCGATCTATGTATCTATCTACTTCATTGTCTTTATCTCTATATGTCTATATGCTGCTCATTATCTATCTTCGCATTCCTTTTCGATATCTATCTATGCATTTATTTTCGTTATCTATCTATCTATCTATCTATCTATGCATTTATTTTCGTTATCTATGCATCTATTTATCTATGTATCTATCTATCTATGCATTTATTTTCGTTATCTATCTATCTATCTATGCATTTATTTTCGTTATCTATCTATCTATCTATCTATGCATTTATTTCCTTATCTATCTATCTATCTATGCATTTATTTTCGTTATCTATCTATCTATCTATGCATTTATTTCCTTATCTATCTATCTATCTATCTATGCATTTATTTTCGTTATCTATGTATCTATCTATCTATGCATTTATTTTCGTTATCTATCTATTTATCTATCTATCTATCTATCTATGCATTTATTTTCGTTATCTATCTATCTATCTATCTATCTATCTAAATGTTTGCGTTATCTATGCAATTCTTTTTGTTATCTATTTATCTATGCCGCTATGTTCGTTATCTATCTATATCTTTCGTTATTTATCTATCTAATCTTTTTTTATTCCGCTCTCTTTATCTCTTTCACTATCTGTCATTCTATCAATCTAACTTCACATCTATCTTGTTTGATAGCAAAACGAACTGCGATGTGCATCAGCGTCGTGATCAAAATTCATACTCTCTTAAAAGTCCAGATTTCGAATACTGATTTCCAAGGTTAACCTTCTACCCAGGCGCAATACAATCTTTCGTCACCGACTAGCCTTGGTCCAGACTAAACATAGCTTAGTAAATATCTATAATGTCTACGCACTTGACGCATTATGTACACAGATCGAATTGTGAATTTAATGAGTAAAATAGCAAAAGAAAAACAATATCCCGTGTAATAAAATTAATCGCAACCAAATCGTCTGACGTTTACCGGAGGCGAATATTCTGGAATAATTTAATTCATTCTAGATTCTAAAACGCCTTTCGAAAATTTGCATTTAAACATATTCGACTTACACGTTTAATCATTCCCGTTTCTGAATATAAGACATAAAATGTAAACAAGTCCAGATTTCTACCAAATATCTACATTGTAAGTTCTTTTCTAAATGATGAGGGAAGAGGGCTTGTAAAATTGAACACTCAAAGTGCATATGGAAAGAGAGCCCAGCGAATGATTTCAATCATGGCAGAGCGAAAACAATAGGATATAATAGTCAGCCAAATGTTGCTTTAAGGAAAAGGGGACAGAAATTGTGGAGATCCATAATTTACGTCGAGAGGATACACTGCTCATGAATTATTTCTTTGCTTATAGTAACCACACATGAACATGAATTTAACAGACGAAAATGTTCGTTAGAAATAGAGAAAGGATTGTAAATTGCTATGTCATGTCTATCGTTATGTATAGCATAGAATGTTGAAGAATTTTCCTCACAGGTGTAGAAGAAAAAACACAGGTGGTTCACACAAAATAATACAGAAAGTATCATTAATAGAACAAGTTTTTAACGTGAATGTTCCTTAGGAAATAGGAACTAATGAATGTTTACACTTAATATCAGAATGAGAGCTGAAATTTCTGGAATATATAATTTATTTGGTGATTTTTTGAGATGTGGAATTATTATTATATATTTTTCGATCCGAACCAACGTGCTTATCTTTGTCGTTATACTGACAACGTTTCAGTCGTTGTACGCTTAGATCTTCTTCAGGTGTCGAGCATTATACTGCGTAACCTTTTGAGAATTTTGAACCACTCTCTGTATTCACTCATCACTTGAGTACAGATATTAGGTTATAAGGCTCCAAAATCATACCATGAAATAGATATGGAGTTCCCAATGAGGATCTAAAACACTAAGTAGCTTATCAAATATAACAATATTTATGCATAATTAAATAAATATTTATCTACATTTCATTTATTTTCTTTCGTACAATTTTTTTTTCTTTTTGGATCGTACATTTCATTCGATTTTCTCTGACGTTTCTGACATATTTGCCACAGCGCTTATTCTTTTATTCCTAACTTTCTGCTTGTTTCTTTTTTACCTGTTTTATTGATTGATTCATTCATTACTTTTCTTTCTTTCTTTCTTTCCGTTCTTTCCTTCTTTCTTTCCGTTCTTCTTTCTTTCTTTCCGTTCTTTCATTCTTTCTTTCCGTTCTTTCTTTCTTTCTTTCCGTTCTTCTTTCTTTCTTTCTTTCCGTTCTTCTTTCTTTCTTTCTTTCCGTTCTTCTTTCTTTCTTTCTTTCCGTTCTTCTTTCTTTCCGTTCTTTCATTCTTTCTTTCCGTTCTTCTTTCTTTCTTTCCGTTCTTTCATTCTTTCTTTCCGTTCTTTCATTCTTTCTTTCCGTTCTTTCATTCTTTCTTTCCGTTCTTCTTTCTTTCTTTCTTTCTTTCTTTCTTTCTTTCCGTTCTTTCTTTCTTTCCGTTCTTTCTTTCTTTCCGTTCTTCTTTCTTTCTTTCTTTCTTTCCGTTCTTCTTTCTTTCTTTCTTTCTTTCTTTCCGTTCTTCTTTCTTTCTTTCCGTTCTTCTTTCTTTCTTTCTTTCCGTTCTTTCTTTCTTTCTTTCCGTTCTTCTTTCTTTCTTTCTTTCTTTCTTTCTTTCCGTTCTTCTTTCTTTCTTTCTTTCTTTCCGTTCTTTCTTTCTTTCTTTCTTTCTTTCTTACCGTTCTTCTTTCTTTCTTACCGTTCTTCTTTCTTTCTACCTTTCTTTCTTTCCTTCTTTCTTTCTTTTTTTTATAATTTTTGTTCGTTCGTTTGTTTGTTTTATTCTTTCTCTCTTATTTTTTGTTTATTTGTATCCTTATTTCTTTCTCATTTTATGTTTGTACACTTCTTCCGTTCATTTTCATGTTCGCACGCTATTTTCTTATTCTTTCTTTATTTCTTTCTTTCTTTCTTTCTTGTTTGCCTGTTTCTATCTTAACTTAATTCTTCTTTCTTTCTTTCTGTTTGTACACTTCTTGCTTTTTCTTTCTTTCTTCCGTTCTCATTTTATGTTTGTACGCTTCTTTCTTTCTTTCTTTTTCGCTTTTCCTTCCTTCCTTTCTTATTTTATGTTTTTATGCTTCTTTTTTCTTTCTTTCTTTCTTTCTTTTTGTACACTTCTTTGTTTTCCTTTTTTCTGTTATTTCTTTCTTTTTCTTTCTTTCTTATTTTATGTTTGTACATTACTCTCTTTCTTTTTCGTTTTCTTTCTTTTTTTCTTATTTTATGAATATACGTTTCTTTCTTTTTCATGTTTGTACGCTTCTTTTTTTCTTTATTTCTTTCTTATTTTATGTTGCTATGTTTCTTCCTTTTTTTCTTTTATCTTTGCATGCTTCTTTCTTTCTTTCTTTCTTTCTTTCTTTCTTGTTTGCCTGTTTCTATCTTAACGTAATTCTACTTTCTTTCTTTCTTTCTTTCTTTCTTTCTTTCTTTCTTTCTCGATATTCGTGCACATATGTGAATAGATGCAAAATATAATTTCATTTGAGGGGAAATTAATTTCTCCGGCGTCAGCTGTATAGATGATTGAGAGAAGAAAGTACATAAACTTTGGGAGAAAAAAAAAGAGAAATCGAAAATTTTGTAGCGAAATGAAACCTAAACCAAAACATGTCATCCTCACATAAAAAAAATAATCTTCCCACGAAATAAGAAAACTACAAGCAAAAGGAGGGAAAAACGAAATGAAATCAAGTTAATCAATAAATATATAAGTAAATAATAGTCGCTTGAAATAAAAGCAGACAGAATTCTGTTACAATGTAAAAATAGAAAAAGGAACATCTCTATATTTAATACAAGAGTAAACATTTCTTAGCGTTTTAGGGGAGATCAGCAAACACTCACGTAAACTATAGATTCAACTCATGTCATATTCGAAGGAAGGCATTCCAAGAAAGACTATGTTTTATATTTTATATTTTATTTTTATTCATTTTTTTATTTATATATTTATTTATTTTGGGGGAAGACACTCCATTCTTGAGTCACAATTTCTAAACTTGAAGAAAGCTGTAGAATAGATCGTTCGAAATGAAGTCAAACAACCCGAAGAAAAGAGTTTTGAAAGCGTTCTTTCATATAAGGAACTTGATATAATGGAATATGCATACACCTGTGTTTCCCCTCTCACTGGAGTGTGATTGTCTGGTGTCCGTCATAAATACCGACGGACGTGTAGGAGAGTCAGAAGAGAGCCTTAGTCTGAGAGCTAAGTCTATAACGACGCCCATTGGACTAGGCCATTGATCTACACTTCTTACCTGCGACTACAGAGCGTACCAGTCGATTACTGCTACCGTATTCTACTTGGTTATAGTAGCCAAAACCACTTAGCTGCTTCGTTCAAACATATGCCTTTCCGGGACATATCAGAACTAGAGAAAAAGAAGTAATATTTATCAATGAAAGTTCATTCTCATAATGTAAACACGTAGAAGGGGCTTAATGACACCTTTTTCTCATCATAAGGGCTTATTGCTTTCATTTCTCTAAAGTTAATCTCTTTTTGTTATACTTTCAGCCTAGTTCCCTATCTTATAAACTAGAAATCTCTAATAAATACAAATTGTACAGTGTTACATAAGAATGATCCTCCTCCAAACAAAAAAAAGGCAGAAAATGGGTCAATCGATATATGTGCATATATGTGCAATGAATGCATAAAAACAAATAAGTGTATAAATCTGCGCAGTTGAGTTTATGCGTGTGTGTGCATGAGTGCGTACATATGAATTTCGCATAAACATAACAGTATATATATATATATATATATATATATATATAACTCTTACGAGCTGCATATTTTGTTCATATATATATATATATATATATATGAAATCGCTTCGACTATACACCTAAAACATATTTTTAAAAAATTAAATAAAACTGTAAAATTCTCAGCGTATTCGCCTTGAAGCGCATGTGTATTCACTTCAACGTAAACGTCACTTCAGGAAATGACGAAACATGTCACGCGAAAAACCTTTTCTTCTTTGCCATAGTTTTTTTCCTTAATTTTTTTTAATATATAAAAATCCATATATCGTATTCTCAAATCTATCTATCTATTTATCTATCTATCTATCTGAATAAAATAAGTAGCTCCTAAGAGAGTTATTAGTTTCATGCGTTTTACGCAATCAGCAGACGGTCGGCCGCTATACACATACACGTACACACACACACACACACATATATATATATATATATATATATATATATATATATATATATATATAATTATAAAAGTGAACATTGAAGTCAACCCTCAGAGGCGACAGGCTGTTTCATGCTCGACGCAATCGTCAGGCCGCCTGATGTTTTCGTCTAGCATGAAACAGCCTGTCGCCTCTGAGTGTTGACTTCACTGTTAACTTTTATAATTATATTTACATTCGCTCTATCGCTGATATTGAGCACTTTATCCTGTAAGTATAGCTCACCTTAAAACTATATTTCTTTATATATATATATATATATATATATATATATATATATATATATATATATATGATCAACATCCTATTCCAAGGAATAGCACTGGAGATAAAACTTTCCAAAACAGAAACTATCATCTGGAATTCGAATGAAAGCAATGATGACAGCTACTTTGAATCCATCATAATAATTCCGCATCAGAAATTAGAGAATATTAAATTAGTACAGGAGAACAAGAAATTGAACGTGGCATAAACTGCGCCAGAACGTTTTACCCAACACCGTAAATCGATATCACATGTTAGTATTATTATTGTCATGGGTCCTTACCTATAACTACAGAATGAACTCTTCCTAACACTATGCATCGTACGCCTCTCAAGAGAGAGGGGCGAATCAAGCCGATCTTTTCGACTTGACGGTCGAACTCTCTGCTCTTGAGCAGAAAGGAACCCGGACGAGGTTCCGCCGAAGGGCAGAATCTCGTTCGGGGTGAATGACCTACCCTGATCTCGTTTTTACGAGTCATACGGGCATATTTTTGGCTGAGCCTACGGGCTCAGGGAAACCCACGATAAAAATGACCTTGTGTCGCATGCAACCCTCGTGGGGGGTGGCTAGATACTGAATCAAGCCGAGCTTCTCGACTTGACGGTCGAACTCTGCTTTTGAGCAGAAAGGAACCCGGACGAGGTTCCGCCGAAGGGCAGAATCTCGTTCGGGGTGAATGACCTACCCGATCTCGTTTATACGGGCTCTACGGGCATTTTTTGGCTGAGCCTACGGGCTCAGGAAGCCCACGATAAAAATGACCTTGTGTCGCATGCAACCCTCGTGGGGGGGGGCTAGATACCGAATCAAGCCGAGCTTCTCGACTTGACGGTCGAACTCTCTGCTTTTGAGCAGAAAGGAACCCGGACGAGGTTCCGCCGAAGGGCAGAATCTCGTTCGGGGAGAAATGACCAACCCGATCTCGTTTATACGGGTCATACGGGCATTTTTTGGCCGAGCCTACGGGCTCGGGAAACCCACGATAAACTCGGCCTTGTGCCACATGCAACCCTCGTTGGGGGTGGCTAGATACCGAATCGAGCCGAGCTTCTCGGCTTGACGGTCGAACTCTTTGCCTCTGAGCAGAGAGGAACCCGGACGAGGCTCCGCCGAAGGGCGGAGTCTCCTTCGGAGAGGGTTGACCAACCCGATTCCGTTTATACGGGTTCTACGGGCATTTTTTGACCGAGCCTACGGGCTCGGGAAACCCACGTCAAACTCGGCTTTGTGCCACATGCAACCCTCGTGGGGAGGGGCTAGATACCGAATCGAGTCGAGCCGATAGTAGTTCACTCCAAAGCAGACTGTCAGTCATACTAACACCTTCCACATATTGTATTATTATTTCGTGTAATATACCTTCGTTATTTCTACTCTTGTGTTCGTGTTGTTCTTCCTTGGTCCTACCCTGGACCATAACAATTATGTACCTATATTAAATGTTTTAAAAGCGGATGAAGTTACCGTCCTCTGTGGTAAAAGGCATTTTATGTAATCTGGCCTATTTTGTCAATCTCACAGAGCGTATAACAACATCAGTAGAGACTTCCTCTTCTCATCAATTAGAAACTGTCTTTGAACACCGAATCCACTGTATTCATCGGTTTAATAGAAGAACTGTGGGAATCTACAAAATCTTGCATGTCTGGCGAGGACCCAATAGAGAATCTTTTCAGGCTTCATCAGGTTTACAACAAGGAGGAAATGAGAACTCCAGCATCTGGAATTAGTAAATACTAAACACTTCAGATAAATCGGCGTATGAATCAAATGCAACAAATTTAGTCTGGGAGATGAAGAAATTCAACATAGAATATGCTGCGCCATCGGTAGAATTTCGCGTAACACCGCAAATTGCTACAAAACAACAACCTGAAAAAAACTCGAGACAAGATCATAAATAGACATGTCAGATCGAAACTTTTATGTGGATATCATTCATGGCATCAAACCCGTTTACTAATATCTAAACTGTCAGCTGTATGCAAGGGATTTCTAAGATCAATATTAAGAAATGGTTTTGAGAGAATGAAGCCTGAGGGTCTTGTCAAAGTTCATACTTCTTTGAATGTTGTGTATTGGTGCTACTGAATCACAAACAAAGAACAGTCTAAATTACAAAAACCACATCAATTGAAAACTACCAACAACAACAACAACTAAAATAGATAGCACATGTTATCTAAAGAGAAAACAATAGCAAAATAAAGATGTTGAGTTGACATTCAACACTACTCCAAATAAAATTTTAAGAAGGAAATCCTCATATATATATATATATATATATATATATATATATATATATATATATATAACCTAAATTAATACTAATGAGTCAGGCAAACCTACCTAGGTTTCAGTGTGTGTGTGTGATTATTTTTATCATAATCCTTTCATATTCACGAATATTTTTCCGTATATTACCACCGAATTAAATTTCTAGGCTTATTCAATATAATATACGGAAAAATATTCTTGAATATGAAAGGATTATGATAAAAATAAACAGTCATAATGTTTGTAATTTATTCAATCAGATATGACTAAAAGAAAATCTTCTGCCTAAGCGCACACACACTTATATATATATATATATATATATATATATATATATATATATATATATCTCAAACATGTTTTGTTAAATGTACTTTTAAACTCATTTCAATATACGGTCCCCTATAGAGAAAGATACTTTATTTAACCTTTAAATTATACATAGAAGACCGTATATTGAAGTCGGTTTAAAAAAAACACACACACACAAAAATTCCAGTTTGGTCGCTTATATGATATCACATTGAGGAACTTGAAATTGCTTCCATCAAACAAGAGAACTGCGGAATTTAAAAAAAAAATATTGCGTAAATACACATAGAATAATCTTTGAAAACAA